CTGAGAGGAAAAGGGAAGAAAAACCTTTTCAATTAAAACATCTTTACCGCTATTTAGAATGCAGATGAGCCCCTCAGCAATGAGGAAATTAGTATTTTATGGTGAAGCATTTATATAGTTTATTCTATATTTGAACCATAATAAATTACATCCATTTTTTACAAGAATTATAACTGACATGCTGTCAGAGCTGTACATGTACAGCCTCAGAAATATACATAATACTTTGAAAGCTGTCACATTCAGTACAGTTGTAAACATCACCCTGGGTTACCAAACTGTTATCTTTAGGTTTACTTCCTCGGATAAACCACAGGATCTTCACACATTTCAACCAGAGGAAAATCAATTCTTCCTCAAACAGTTGCACAGCAGTTTACCAGCCATGCTTAAATGCACAGACTCGTGCTAGCTTGGATCCCAGTTTAGGTCTGTTTGCCAAATATCCTTGATCATGGACTTCGAGCTAGGTCTGGGAAAACACCAGAGTGACTCTGTTTTCCCTCATGTTGGCATTTTTTCAATCCAAAAGTGCCACTGTGGTTCTAAATGAGCCCTTTTGCTGAAGAATATTCACATGTATGTGCTACAATACAATGGTATTTCTACATTGTCCCTTTTTTAGACTGTTCCTTATGAAATACGTGTACAAAGTTGTTTTCTTTTCATAAATTTGCTGAATTGTTTAAAAAATATTATTGGAGAATCATAGTGTTTTAAAGGGATTCTCTAGAGGGTTCCGATTCTACAGGAATACCATCACACTCAACTGTTCTTTAGGATGCTGAAAAACCTACCTAAATGCTACCTAATAACTGAAATTACTTATATTTTACTTGTATACATTCTTTTCTACTTCACAGTAGAAACCAAATGCAAAAAGAATAAGGGTTTACAACTGGAAATTTTATATGATTAATTAATGAACCTTAGGCCTCAAATGAAGATGATTTTAAACAGAACTGTGATCCAGCTTCAGCTACAGAAAGATGTGGTTAAATGGTGTCACCTCTGCCTCCAGAAGAATTTGACCATGGTCCTAAAGGAAGTTATCTGCCCATAGACATCTACCCCAAAACAAATCCTAGGGTTTCAGTGGGACTCAGAGTACTGCCAGGATTGTGAAACACTCATTGGGATGGAGAGCAAACACAGCTAAAGGACACTGGTATTGGGGAAAAATGCTTTAACAGCTCTTTCCATGAAGGAGGGATGTGAACTTGGGCTTTGTGTCCTGAGGAGAGCCTGGAGCTTGGGCACTGCTGGCATGGTGTCCTGTTTCTGCACATCAGGTAGCACAAGAAGGGGCAAGTGCTGAGCCCGACAGCTCCATCCAAATAAGTGTTTTCAGTCTGACTGGGGCCAAGCTTGAGGCACCAGGGAGCCAAAAGGTCAAAAAAATGAGGCAAACAGATCAGCTGCCATCAGAGCTCAGCAGTGATGGATCTGGGAATGTAGGTGGAAATCAAGTGCCTGCACCCCATCTCAGCTGGCTCCACCTTCTTTTGGGATAGTCCCCAAGAACCTGCCAGCACTGTCAGGTGATGTCCTTTTTTTTTTCCACTTCAGGTGGTAGAGGTCTACACCAGAAAACTCCTTGAATGGACTTAGAGGCTTTTCCACCACAGAGCGTGAATGTGTCTTTCCATTCCTTTTTATTTGAGGTCTGGTAGCACCGAATGCCACCACTGTGCTGGGCTCTGTTGGGGAGAAGAGAAGCCACAGGAGCACCCAGCACTGCACAGCAACAGTTACGCTGTCGTTACAGTTAATTTCCTCCTCTCTTTGCACCATCTAAATTCAGCGTGCATTATCCTTCTGTTATTTATGTAAATGTTTAGATTAGGTAATATTTTATTCTACAGTGAATGACACCATAATCCTCCTTATTCTTCTCGTTTATCATAAATATTTAGTTTGTTTTTAGCTTGTGGGACTAAACACAACATCGTTTTCATTACTGTGAAATCTTCCCCTTTTCTTCTCCTGCAAGCATCCCTGGTCCCCTGGCAGCACTCTGCCTCCCAGAACATGCTAATATTGCTTGCATTACTACAGGATTACCAGAGTGAAGTATACACTTGGTATTATAATTCATAATGTTGCTTTAAAAGATTAACCACTCCCACAGCTGTGTCTGGTAATTACAGAGCAGACTTTCTTCTTTTTTTCTTTCTTTTTTTTTAACAAAGAACAGTGTGCACAAAATGACTGGCAAGGAGGTAAGTGTTTTGGGGTGTGCTTTGTTTTTCAACCTCAGAGAAAACCAGATGCAAAATTGATAAAGGAGAACAAGAGTGGGTTTTAAGCTGAGATACTTCAGTATACGAGTAATTTAACAGATTTATATGAAGGACATGGCACTGTCGGCCACTGGAATGTCACAGACTGATGGGATTGGCAATTGCCAGCTCAGATGACTTCCATGAGCAAACCCAAAATAATTAATAGACCTTCTGGAGTTTTCCAGGCAAGTGAGTGTGCTGGTAAAAGAGCAATAGTTGGTTTAGCCTGTCAAGGTTCATTCTTTTTCAGAACTCCAGTCCTCCCCTGATGCTCTCTAATGGTTTTTTGAAACACCAAAATGTTTTTGCATGAGCAGCATTACCCATTGTGCTTCAGTTAAATGCATTTCGATGTCAGACATACTCCTGGTTCAAAAATGTGTGCTCCTTACCCCTTCCTGGGGGTTCTCCAGGGAGGGCAGCCAGATTGACTTTAATTGACCAAAGACACAGGGTGGGTTCTTAACGTGATAAACCGACCGAGTGTGCGAAGTCACATTAATATGTGGGAACTTGATCAGCTTTTATTAAGGGATCAGGAAACGGTTTAATTGCTGAGTGACAAGAGCATGTGTTTGTTTAATTGCTTGGGTTTGTTTATTGCAAAGCTTTGGGGGACGTGGTAATTCGTCCCATTGTTGTTTTGAAAATGTGGGTCTGGCACCCAAACCAACTGCACATGACAGAGACTGATCTTTTAACAAGTGCTGTTTCATCAACATTTACCACACTCCCATTTGGTGGGGATGGCAGCCCTTGGAGGAACAAAGTGGGATTCTCCTTCCAGTTTCTCCTTGCTTGGGTTGTCCAGAGCTTCCACGCTGTGAGAAGGTTGGAATTCTTGTGCTTAAATAAGGAGTTACTCACTGTCTGTTAGATGAAAGTAGCATTTAAAGGCCTCTGCATGGTAGAGCAACACTTAACAGGTTGTTCTGTCTTTCACAGCTGGAAATGTAATGGTTGCACGCTCCTACAGAAAACTCCTAAAAGATCTTGGAGCCTGAGGCAAAGTCCATTGAAGCTGTTGGTGTCTTGTTTGTTGGACTGGCCTTTGATCAGATGCTAATGCATAGCAATAGCATTTCTATACCTTTCTGAATGGAGTTTTAGCGTAGAATTGTACCCTGCTGTAGGATTGCAGCAGTCCTGGGGATAGATCTGCTTCCTTGGCTGAAACTGACCAGAAGCCTCGATGGTACAATGATGTCTGGCACTCCATGCTGGGAAGAAGTATTAGTTTTGCTGTGAATTTACATGAAAAGTCCCTGGCTAGCGATTAGTCTAAATATAAAGCTTCCCGAGACCCTAATATTTCTTTCCTCTAGATTCTTGCCTTACTTTGGAAGCTAAGTTTTCCATCCAGGAGCACCACCTGGAAAAGCTTTCCTTCCTGTTTTCTCTAAATTAGCCATTTAAAATGCTTTATTGATGGAGGAAGATAGAGGGTTGCTGATGATTAGGGTTATAACTGGCTTTCCAGTACAGTATCCAGCACTGCAGAAAGCATCTACTTTTGTAGAAGGAGCCTAGGAAAAGTCGTATCAATATACATTACAGGCTTGTCATAACTCACTCATTTCCTATTTCAAACAGGAGGAAATATACTTGAACATATCTGTTGTATCTGTCAAGACTTCTCATTTGTCAAACTATTAGTGGTCCCTCTGTCAACATAAATAAATCTGTCCATAAATCTTGACAGGTATAATCATTCGTTGCATTTGAAAGGCAAGTCTCTAACATTAGACCCCTTTTGATTCCTAACATGATTATCTTTAAAGAAAGACATTTCAGATGCCTTCTGAATCTGGCCTCTGTCAAGTGATTTCTCTGCTCTTGCTGAGTTATCTACTCGTACAAAGTAAGCAAAGGCATAGTTCCTGCTGTCAACTCTCCTGAAGACCACACGAATCACCGGCATCGCAGCAGCGCCGAGGCCCTGTCCTGCAAGCGATTATGTCCCTGTTTGTCAGACCAGGCTCCCGATGTGCTTATTGTTCTTTACAGCTAGACTTCTCATTCCTATTCTGAGCCATTCTTCTGGCACCAGTTGCCCTTTCTTTACTTTTGGGAAGCTATCAAAGAATGTTCTTTGAAGGTATTTTTCCATTGGATGCCGCCGATCTTTCCGGCGCTGTTGTCGTTGGCAAACAATCTGTACCCATACAAGAGAATTAAGCCTCTGAAATGGCTGCTAAAATATGGCCTAGCACAATTTAAGATTGAATTCCATAATACCAACGCGTGCTTCGCAAGCTCCCCTCCTCTCTGGGGCACAATGAGCAGCTCCAGCCTCACGAGGCTCCCCAGGGAGATGTGTGGTGACCTTGTTTCTGTGCTCGATGGCCTTATGTTAGTAATTTTGCCTGCCTGATTAAGTTAACAGTTATTGGGCATTCACCAAGCTGGAATACGAAGTGAGGGTCTTTGGCCAGAGCTCGGTGTGTCAGCAGACAGCTCTGGCACACGACCCAGAAATTGGTCAGTGCACGAGTGCACGAGTGCCTCCAGGAGTCAGGAGGCTGCTAGGGCTGGGTTTGTGGGAACTGCACAGTGAAGAATGGATGCCCAGGGAGCTCCTGCAGGAGCCAAGGTGGTTGGTACCCAAGCTCCTGCAGTTTCATGGGCGTGTGCTGCTTATATAGCCATGGGAAATTAGCTGCTGAATGCTGGAAGATCCCAAGTCTAATGTTTTCCCTTCAGTCTTCTGACGGT